CAGATTGTTGGAGGCTCTCCACATTCGCCAAAGGTTCCGATTGAGGAACCTTGTCCTCCTCGACCTTAGGAGGGATCTCTATCGAGGCCCCAATTGAAGCAATCTCAGCAACATTCAATTGGGGCGTAGTTGACTGCAAACAAATGATGTGATCAGAAGAAAAGATTAAAATTAACACAAAATCAAGGCTTGGGAAAGATGAACCTGTTGGATTGCCCCAACAACGGGAGGAAGGTCTCGCCACATTTCTCGAGAAGAATCAATTTGGATGACCTCGACACCCTATGATAGGCGAAAATGATGAGAAAGGCAAGGAGTCAGGAAAATATAATCGAAGTCAAGACATGGAAGTACCTTGGGAATGGACTTCATCGCATCCTTAAGCAGCTTCTCGACAGGAGGGTTCTGGGTTTTCTTCCGAAGAGGTATCACCAACTTCCCCTTTCGTTTGTCAAGCTTCTTTGTGGTCGAGACCTACAAGAAACTCGAGATGATTAAAGCTCGAAATAGAGTAAGAAAAACATGGTAAGGTAAAAGACTATTCACCGTCTTGGTGCTAGTTGAGTCCGCCTTTTGTTTTTTCGAGGCCTCGAGGTTCTAAATAAATAAAAAAAAAGAGATTAAAAAGAAGTGTGAGGTATAGAATGAATTCAGAAGTTGAATCGAAGATCGAAAGGAGTTTTACCTGGGAACGCAAAGAAGCCTTGTCAGAAGTGGTCTTTCTTTTTCGACCTTTAAGTGATGCTCCTTTCGCATCATCATCATCACTCTCCCAATCGGGAGTTTGTTCAACGTGTTGGGGAACACGTTGAGAAACAGCAGCTGTATAACATAGCATGGATAAAAGATGAGATAAATACAACAAAAAATTCGAGAAATAAGTTTCTTGGTCATAGTCATTTACCAGGGGGGAAGATTAGTGTTATCGACCCAACATAGTGGCCACCATCTTCTTCAATGAAAATCATACAGGGAACATCTCGCATAAGTAACTCGGTTCTTTATAGGGATCGTTTTATTCTCAAGGTAAAGTGGGTCGAGTGTTTTTACCCAAGGAGGGGAAGACAAATATTTAGCTAAACCAAAAAGAGCATTTGGAAGAGGGGGTATGTTTTTAGGACAAAATTTTTCAAAATCAGTTTTTCCTCGAGGGTTAATTACCTTTTTCGAGCGAATGTTCCTCTGTACCATTTTCGATAGAGAGACGGATGCATCGAAGATGGTTCGACCAATGTTGTCAGGTCGATAACAAACTTTAAAAAATTGCTCAAATTGATAAATAATGATTCGATTCTTGAAAGTACCTGATTGTTTTGGTCCCTACGAAGAAAGAGGAGAATTAATCAGCTTCTTCAGAAAACCATCAAAGTCGACAAGTTTATCTACATAATATTCACACCACCATCGAAGGTAACATCTCGAGACTAAGAATGAGGGAGAAAAAGTGGATGGTGTGAGCGTGAGTTTCTTGTCGGAGCGGAGAATGAAATCTAGGACTTCTTGATAGTTCCCTTCTTCGACACAAATATCAGCATCAATGCCCTCTTTGACGTAAAGAGGACACAAATAAAGCCTAACATCTTTCTGCCTCACACCCGAAATTATGACGTCCCAAGATAGAAATTCAAACCACATGTCAGTTGAGTCCGGGCTTATGTTTCCAACCTGATTATTCTGTCAAAGCCATGACGGACCTGTCAAAGTGGGTCGAATAAAAGGGGATAAATCCTCACTAAATTCCGTAAAGTTGAGAATGACATCAATTTCGGTTGCAAAATTATCAACTGAACGCTTTCGAGGGGTCAAAGTGGTTAAACGGACACCCTCAAGTTCACAAGTGGGAGTGAAAGTCGAGGCAAGAGATAATTTATTCTCAAAAATGGCATTGAGCCATAGTTGAAGCAGCCATAACGGTCCAGAAAGATTTCGAGGCCCAGATTCACGGAAAAGGCTTTCCGAAGCTTCGTCGAGACAGGTATATAGAGATGCCAATAAGAGTTTACTTAAACAAATTTTCTTCTTCAGATGTAGGGCTTGAGCAAGAATGTAATAGTATTTTGGGACTTGAAGAGAGGGGGTGCAGAACACACAAGCGGATAACCAATACAATAAAAAGGCTATGTGTTCAGAAATCGAAACAGGAGTACCAGGCTGTCCTACATGAGCATTTATGAAAGCTAAATAGGTCTTCTTATCCCAAGTAATAGAAAGCTCCTTGATCGAAATCTCTTCCTCGAAAGCATCAGGATAAAACCTATCTCCTACAGGGGGTAGACCAGTTATTGCCGCTATATCCAATAGAGTAAGGCAAACGAAACCACAGGGAAACTCGAAGGCCCTAGTCTCTCTATTCCAAAAGAAAACCACGGAACCCCGAGACAGCAACCAAACAGCCACGGAACTTCGAGACAGCAACCAAACAGCCACGGAACTCCGAGGCAGCAACCAAACGACCACGAAACTCCGAGGCCGCAACCAAACGACCACCAACAGACCACCTAGAGTGTGACCCACAACCTGAAAAGGGTCAAAACGGGAAGAGGGAGGGTCGGCGAGTCCAACGGAGTGAACCGAGTCACAAACGGAGGCTGGGAGGGCGGCGCGTGAAGCCCACGCGCCAGCGCGCTTCCTCAACAATAACCGCGCGTGAGAGCGCGTGAGACGACGGCTGACGGTGGCTCACGACGGAGAGGCCGATCGACGACCTCTGAGTGTGCAAGCGGTGTCAACTCCGGCAACCGCGGACAAAACTCGAAAACCCTAGAAACCCTAGATGTTGGCTGCTGGATTAGGGTTCCTGGACCAGAGTGCTCTGGTACCAACTTGAATATGAATAATTTCTTATTAATGAATCTGAATGAGTACAATAAAATAAATAGGCATAAAATATAATCAATCCCTAAAGTTTAGGGATTTAGATAAAACTGACTAAGGAAACTAAACTAGGACTTAGGAGAAGATAAACTAGTATATCTAAACAGAATTATCTTAACATTATCCACAAAGGACAATTTCTATTTTTGGTTCATCAATGAACAATATTTCCATATTTGTATATTATACAGGTTTATATGTCTCCGGAGGATAATTTGGATTTTCATAAACTTTTACATATCAATGAAGTATCCCAGAATATTGGTGTACGTATACATAAAGCAACTTGAAGTATTGGTGCTTCATAGCTCATTAACAATAACTAAATTACTTGGCTTTTCTTAACTTGTTCAAGAACAAGGTAATATAGGCTTTTTAAAAGATTCTAGACTTTATTCAATTTTAGCAAACCTAGAATCTTCATATATCAAATAAATTATGAGCAATTATTTTCCAAAAAACAAAAAGTCAGCATTGCTATTTCCAACTGAAAAATAAAACAAAAATCAAAGAGAAGAATTTAGTATGTGTTTCTTTAAAGGTTCAACTTCTCAAGTCAAACTTGTACCAAAGCATACCACATATGATGCACCAGGTAGTAGGAAAATATCATGAGGATGTATTCTTGGGGCTGCGTAAACTTCCACCTTAATAGCTTGACTTTGAATTTCATGTCCCAAATGTTGTACAGCCCTAACCTGATTTCAATAAATAATGATTAAGCTACATTAGCTTTCAAAAGTCTAGAGAAATTTCATTCAGATGAAAATCAAGATTTTAGAGGTTGACAATAGACTTACATAAAGGGTTGTAATTCCAAGATTTCTCCCCTTTATTCTAAAACTTGGTGCACTAACATATCCACCAACAAGACTCGAGAAATCATCCGTATCCACCAGCTCAATTATACTATCCTCAACAAGTACATGAAGATTCATGTAAACAAACTGCATCACAGTTTCCAAATCAACAAATTGCTACTCAAAATAGAAAAACCTCACTATGACGTATTCGTACTTCCTATAGGTGAACCCAAAATGACCAAAAAAACGTATAAATAACAGAGTCTCGTTGACCACATTCAAGGCAGTACAGTTACAATACTACCATGTCACACAAGATCATATTATACAACATTGGAGTGCAGCTCCTAAAATTAAATAGGCAAAATAATTCAAACCTGAGAAGCATGAAAACTACTTCCACCATTAGTACCAGCCAATAAGTCAATAGTTTGCAAGCTTCCTTCCTGTAACGATCAGAATAGCATATCATGAAGGAAAAATTCTAGGTTGGACAGATATTCAGTTAAGAATTTAATAATGACAAAAACAAGAGCAAAAGCCAGCATGCCAGTTCATTATAAACACATTGGAGCAACTAGCAAAAACGCTTTGGCATCTAAAGGGTGGCTTATTCAGCTTGAGCTTGTGCTCAAACTCAAATGGTTTTCTACCACCAGTGAGCACAAGCATGACCGAATAATACAGAATAATCTAAAATAAGCACATAATAAAGAAGAAAATGGTTGTGCTTATAATATTCTGTATTTTTCAGTTGTGCTTAGATTATTTTATTGTTGGGTTGGACTATCTTTATCTTTCTAATCTATATTTTTAAGTATAAATATAGACCTAAGGAGATTAACAATATTAAATTGGTCATTCCAATTTGTAACCTCCTCTTGATTCTATCTAGAATGTTCCTTTTTGATTATTTTGCTTCATTGCATCATTAACATAAGACAAGCCCAGGTATCTCAACAGAGGGGTAAAGAGTATTTAACGTCCCACAACTCTCAGGCAAGTAGTAAGGGCTATACTATTGAAATAACCATATATTAGAGCAACTATGTTTTCCTGTGAAGTTCCAACTGCAAGAAAAACAAACAAGCATATCATGCCATAGAATCTCACGAATCTAAGATTTTTAATTTCATTAATTATGCTATTCAGCTTTGTTTTCACCTTTTGTACCTAATTTTTAAAGAAACCATTTTGTGTGGGACTCGTGTCGACCCAAGCAAATCTCATGTATAAGCCATTTAAGACCAAAAAACAATAACATTGTAGGAAAGACATACCATCAGGCTAATCTCTTCTCCCGACAATATCTTGATCCACTCAATATCTGCAACTTGAACCTGGAATATTTAACTATTATAAGCATATAACATTAAACGACATCAGCTAATCATCTGACACCAAGACCAAGTTATGATGCCGTAGCACAAACTAACATGCAAATTTGAAACCCTATTGACACTGAAAGGTGATAACTTTTGCACTCTTAATAAATTTCCCTTATAAGATCATCAGTTTTAATGAATATTTAGTTAAACTTGTTACGGAAAAATATAGTGTTTACACTTTCAGAGAGTGCTTTAAAAAACTATTGTTTCATTTCCCAAATATCCACTTAGTCACAAAAATGAGGTGGTCAGAATTAGATATGGCCATATGTTGGTCCACCAAATATCTGATCCTTACAATAAAGTAAATGGAGCACTACAAAAATAAAACTCACTATGAACCAATATGTAATTGTAAATTTACCTGTGCTAAACCAATAATACGTACAAAAGGGAAATAATATTGCTAGTAAGTATGATAGGTATTACACATAAACAAAATAAGAGATTTAATTGATATTTAGGTTTGAATGACAAAAGACACATGTTGTGGTTTGCCAGACAAAATAAGAATAATAAGTATGCTTGAAGAGATGTACATTGTCGCACACATTAATCATTCTAACATACAAGGGACTATAACAATATATATTTTCAGAATCCTCTAATTGATCATAAAATTGAGGTAGGGACACCAAAACCAAGCATTTTCCTTAAATTTCAAGCAAATTCCTGAATAGGGGGAAAACAGAGCTTACGAGTGCAGAAGCTCTCTGAGGAGGAGATAGACCAATGTCATATAACGTTAGATTAGCTATCCCTAATCCTTTAGGGGATAAAATCAGTTGTCGGCATTCTAATCCCAGTGGTGGTTGAATAACTTCTACAACTTGAGAATCATTTGTAACAGCTTCCAAGAAACAGCTCCCACCAATAATTGACAAATTTACCTATAGTCATAAAAGATAATAATAAAATGCCCTTATATTCTAACTAAAATGCATTAATAATTAATTTCATGAATAAAAAGCATTATGCAAGACATCTGTATCACGAAGATGGGCAAAAAAGCAAGTTAGACTATAATGCGTGACAGAGTCCTGCATTAAGAGGGAGAAGCAAACCACCCCTCAACCTCCAAAAAAAAGAACGAAAGAAGATTTCAACTCATATATCCTGTAAGACAAAATAATCAATTTGTCTTGGGTAAAATTAATAACAATTTTGACTCAATAATTTCTGGTGTTTGAGCATATTTTGGTAATTGAAATATTTGATAACAGATTAAACTGCTCACAAAAATTTTAAAATCTGAGTTGTTCAAACTTCTGATTATAACCGATTATGACAATAATTGATTAATATTATACATATAATCGATATTGAAATAATCTAATGTTCACAATTATCCCAATCACACTCTTATAGTATAATTTATTAACCTCTCTTGGTTTTCTGTAACAGTGCTATGTATTGGTGCATTAAGTGTTCAGACGTAAAATTCATATCTAAGACTAATCATTTTATAGCATGGAATTTCCATTAAGATTAACATTGAACAGCAGAAGTAGATGAGCTATCTGACTGATACACATCATAAAAGGTAAAATAATTCCATCAATACTTGCAATCGTTTATATTTTTCTACAGAACTGATAATATTTAGTGCAAAGAAAGCCTAGGCTAAAATTCCAAAAGTTCAGTTTATATTTAGTTTAGGATAATCTGGTAAAATGTCGCTCCAATGGGATTGTGTACCATAAAGCCTTCAGTAAAACATCAGCAAATAAATATTTAAATATTAATACTGCCATAATCTAGATAAAATAAATGAAAAAGATGAAAAGAAATCTATCTTCTAATAGAAGGTAAAAAGCAAACCAAGTTTACAGACTATGCAAATTTGATGTGAATAGAACAAATTAATAATTCTGGACCCTAGAGGCCAGAGGTGTGATCAACAGATATAAAATCTCTTTACATAATGGTGTTACCTTTGCATTAGGATTGAAATATATCAAGTTGAACTCTGGATCAACTCTTAGGGTAGAAACAAGCTGCATTGTAGCACCAATATAAAGATAAGACAACTTCTAAAGACAGATTAACAACAAAAAGAACATATAGATGCTACAAAATCCCATGATAAAGAACAGAACTGCAGGGAGAAGATGCATTTCTTGATCATGGAACTTTGAAACTAATAGATTTTAATCATTTAAGGTAAAAAAGAAAGCTTCATATTCAAGAAAAATCATTTACAACAAATATTACCTGTAAATGAATTGCATCTGTCAGAACATTTTCAGTTTTAGTAAACAGATGACATGTATCATCTCCCAAGCTTGCAAAGTCAGTAACTGTAGCACGAACAGTGCACTAAGAGACAAAGCATTTAAGGTTACTTTAGCCGTCAATAAATTAGAACAAGATTAGTAAAATAAATTCAACATTTCATGAAATTGTGCATGAATGTTACACAGCATGATATGCATATAAAGGACCCATTAAAACTTATTCAATGTATCGAACTATTTAATATTTATACAACTATTTATAAGCATGACATTACGAATACACAGACAACAGCCCCATTGCATGTAAAATAGCAGCAATAAGTATATTATTAAACAATAATTTATCAGCAGATTTTGTATTTATATATTATAATCAATATTTGGATGTCACAACTGTATTAGGAATCTTAGATATCCACAAAGTAGGTGACCTAGGGATATTGGTGTTCAACAAAACTAGCAATCCTTTAAAAAGAAGACCATGTGAGCAATTCCAGCAGCCTAGACATAATATGTGTTAGAATTTCAAAAACATCAATGAATCTCAAAGAAAAAAGTAAATTACAATCCTCTCCACTGAGAGACACCAAAACTACTGCCTTTCCCTCTAATTTTAAAAATTACACTTACCTCCCCAGATATGAAATGTGTTGCGCTTTAATTGATTTTAAAAATGAACCTCTTAGCAGTGGTGAGCCACTATGAACAAGCCTTTCAAAGACATTTTTTTAATTTTTCCTATGATCCTATCTCTGCAACTTTCAATATCAATGGTAGCAAAACTTGATTGGTTTATTTATCATTACTTCTAGGCCTTGAGAGAATGAAAAGAAGCTTTGACTTCCCCCATTATCTGTTTTGAAACTTCACAAAATCCATTATTTTAACTTCTAAAAGTTGATAGTAAGAATTCAAAACTAGCTATCAGTGATGCTGAGAGTCACATAGAAAAATTGTTCCTAAGAAACATGTATCCCATGCAACACATTAAGAGTAGAGTGTACTTTTTTAAAAATAAAGGAAAGGAAAGTGTAATGTAAGTATCTATCAAGGAGGATATAGTAATTTACCACCTAGAAAAACATGAAAGCATTAGAAAACATAAAATATAGAAGAAATCCTTCTCAGAGCAATCTACACAAAATAAGAGAACTCTTTAAGCAAATGAGAAATAAATAATCCCCACTTAGAAAACAAAATTATTACCCAAAGGCTGTACACAGTCAAATAAGAAAATCAAAATCTAAAGTACTGATTTATAGGTCACAAGTTATAAAAATTAAAACATTATTACAGTAACATTATTAGTACTAACTACTAAGTGTAAGTAAGGCATATATAAACAAAATATTTGAAGTCACACCAAAATAAACTATACTTTGGATCAGCAAATTTTCACAAGCAACTCTGATTGCTAAATAACCAGGTATTTTGCAAATGCAGCAGTAAGGCTAGACTGTAAATAAAATGACAAAATTAATAAGAATCTTTCAGTACCAATCCTGATTCATTCCGCAAGACCAGAAATCTCTCCCAACTGTTAGACTTCACCATATCAAAAGCATAATCCCAATATGCCAGTCCCTCAGAACCACCAAGTTCCCACCTCAAACTGAGAGAAGATGAATTTGCATAAGCTTCTCCTGAATCACTGATACCAACCGCAGATATACGAATAGAGCGCCCATTTGCCACAATAACAGGGGTATCACGAAGTCTCCCTGAACGACGTTCAGCTTGAACTGCTGCTTTAATAATTCTGCGTTCATTCACTAAAAAGCACAACTCACTTATTAGATAGAAATCTGAATAATTGTGCTGTGAAGGACTTTAACTCTGAAAAAATCATACCTGGTTCATCAGCTATAAGGACAATAGAAGAAGGAATGCTACATGTCACTGAAAGCCAAAATTCAGCTAATGAAGGCAGAGGATGGTCATCCCCAACCAAATTTCCACGTTTAAAAAGAAGTTTCTAAGTCATTTGAAACAAGAAAAAGTTAATATTTGTCAACTTCTATGAATATACTGGAATACTTTCTATTGAGAAATAAATTCTGAAGCTTACAAATGTTCCCAGTGTTTGACATAAAACTCCATACAAATTCCTATAGCTTCCAGACACTCGATGCACAAGAACTCCATCTTCAGCCAGAGCATTCCCTTCATTCAAAACTTCTACAGTTTCAATGAATTCAACACCTTTATCCCACCTTTCAGGTCCACCAACAAGTAATATGTCTAAACTTGTGCCAGGGACAAGATATAACTCCTCTAAGCTATGTGACTGCTTGTTACTTTCTGCTTGAGCCAAATCAAGCCAGTAACCACCAAATTGGTTTCCATCACCTGCCTGACGCACAACAAGGGGTAGGTATGCGGCAATACATAAAGATGCTTTTAATACAACAGGACCATGACTGTAGCGGTGATCTTCTTTAGAAAATATGGCATGGATCACAGCTTGACCAGCATTAGAAGCATATACATATGTCCATGAACAGGGAGAGCCACCAACTGATGGATGGAGCTGGGTATTTGGCACTGTTTCCAAGTATAACAACTCCTGAGTTGCATTGACAATGATAAAAGACTCACTTCCAGCTTTCCACTTTATCAAAGAATTAAAAGCATCGCATCTATAGAAAAAGGCACCTGCACATGATACAACATGAGCAAAAATGGCAAGCAGAAAAACGGGAAAGAAACTTTATGATATCTTCAAATATGGCATCACCATTCACTGCTTTCATTGTCACAGCAGCTTGAAGATGTGATCCAACAACAGTTTCTACGGGAAAATTGTGAAGCATAACCATAGAAGATGGAGTGGAGACTTCAACAAGGACCTATAAGAAAATTAAAATTACAAGATAAAAAAGAATGTACAAATTGTTTAGACTTCCAAAGTAAATTGAAGAAAAAAAATGAATTACTTTATGTATAGATAGAAAACAAACCGATGGCATAAAGAGGATCCAATAGAAAACACCTCTTGGAATATTTTATATTAAGAAAAACATCCCACTATCATCAGATATTAAACCAGTCTCTTTACATTTTTAATTCCTTTTCCTTTCTTTTACAGAAATACCTCACTAGTGAGTATGTTCTTCATGACAACACAGTAACACATCTGTAATACTATTCAACAAATGTAAAAAGGCAACCCAGTGCACTAAGCTCCCACCAAGTAGGGTGGAGGGAAGGTAGATGTATTCAGCATTGCAACCTTTACCCCTGCAAGCACGGAGGGTGTTCACAGAATTTGAATCCATGACCATTTTGGACATTGGTCACAAAAGAAAGAAGATGGTGGTTTATTGTCTCTATTTTTTATTTAACTTGTAAATAAAAGAAATATCTTAGGGGACCCAAAATCATCTTATTTGATCTTTAATCAGTTATCATCTTTTTCCTATTTATCTTTAAGTCACAGTTTCCTTATTTTAGGGGTAGCTGTTCCCCTATAAGAGGATGATTAGAGAATGTAATTAGTATGAATCAGATTAGTAAAATAAGTTTCTTTTTCAACTGTTTTGTATGATGGGATAACTACTAGTATGACAAAACGACAATTAAGGATCAAGAATTTGAACTGAACACAGCATATTACTGCTCTCTAATAAAAATAGATTCTTACTCTCAGAAAGGGGGTTAAGAGTCAAATTCAACCTTACAAAACCAGCTTGTAAGGTGAGAATTGTTCTCTACTTATATACACTATTATGGCCTTATTTCAGATGATGTGAGATCTCCAATACACACCTCTCACCGTCTCACGCCGAGGACTAAATATCTCGAACATAACATTTGCAGGACTAAACATTTGTGGATGGTCCGATAACAACCCGAGAGCAGGTGACATGATAAGCCGACTAACAATCACTAGGATAGGTATTGATATCCTCTAATATGATCTTAGAAAGTGGGTTAAGAGCCTAACTCAATCTTAAGAAATCGACTTGTAAAGTGAGGATTACTCCCTAATTGTATACACTATTGTGGTCTTATTTCTAAACAATGTGAGACCTCCATGACTTATATTCAAATACCATATAGGTACAAATTTGAGCTTAAGGAACCAAACAAGATCAAATTTACCAAATGTTGTAAATAAAAATATCTTAGGAGATTTGATATTATTTTAGGAGATTTGATATAATCTTTTCTTATTTGTTTTATATTTGTTTGTTTTCATAGTTACCTATTTTAGGGACAAATGTATCTGTAATTTTGTATAATAGGGTAAGAGAAAAATGTAATTAGTATGATACAAATTAATAATATTCTCTTTCTTAACTTGGTATCAGAGCTCCCAATCTTGGGAGCTCGGTTTCCGTTGCCCTAAACATAAAAGTAAAAACCTAAGACGCTACCACCCTCGTTGCCATCGTCACTGCCACTGTTGAAGTCAGTTGTGAGCTAGAAAGGAGCGCTCATCATCGATGATCACAACGATCAGTCGCATGATCAGAGACCTCCCCATGCGCCGCCACAATCCGCCCCTTTTCTTGGCGCGTGTAGGCCACGCATCCATCTCCAACAAGACCCACTCATCAATGACCCCCCCAGCTTATTCTAAGGGGTGGTGGCGTCCAAATCATGGTTGTCAAACTCGCGAGTCAACTCGTAGAATCGGACGAGTTTACGAGTCTAGGGGAGCAAAACGGGTTAACTCGCTTGTAGAATCGTTTTTGGGTAGACTCGGGTAGACTCGGTCAGAATTGCGAGTCTAGCCCGAGTCCACGAGTCTGGTGGCTTTTTTTTTTGACCCCTAAATGGCCCAAAAACGACGTCGTTTTGCCTAGGTCAGTAAGTGAAAAAATGTTTCTTCCCTGCGCGCGCGAGCTGCTCCACCATTTGCACGTTTCTGAGTCTCCCTCCGCAGCTAAACCCTAAACAGCCATCTCCGCCGCAGCTAGAACAGAACGCATCTTGCTGGGACGGACGCGAGTCTCCCTCCGCAGCTAAACCCTAAACAGCCATCTCCGCCGCAGCTAGAACAGAACGCATCTTGCTGGGACGGACGCGAGTCTCCCTTCGCCTAGAGGAGGCCATGTCAAATATGAAGGAAAAACTCGTGAAAGAAGGGGGAATGCAAGATTGCCGGAGAAGAGAGTCAAGAACCAGAGCAAAGAAGCAACAAGTGAACAAGAAAGCAATGAACAAGAAAACTTGAGCACGAAGGAAGAGAACGGTGAAAGTGATTTTCACCTTAGGGTAAAAAGAGTGTTTTAAACGTCTTGGTGGGCCTGAGGTGAATGGGCTTATCAAATTAATTCAAATAGTTAATTTGAATATC